CAGCCCGAGATATATAGTTGTCGTCGTCATCATCTGAGGCACTGTCTACTACTTCAATGGGTTTGATTTTTGTTTACCTAAAAAGAAAAAAGAAAGAATGAAAAATAATCATTGTATAGTACTTATCGTGACATTCATACATAGCTATCGACTCACAGATGTACAAATAGATTATTTGAACTATTTAACAACACAATTAAATTAAAGCAAGATACATATTTACCTTGTCAAGGTGTGAATTCCTTTCGTCGTTCCACGTTCTTAGCTTTGATAAAAGGGTGTATATCCTTTATTAACATATTCGGTAGCTCCCGCGGGGAAATGTTTCTTCGATTCCTAAGTGACCAGCGGCACATGTTATAAAGCGTATTTGGCACTCTATTCAATTGTGACCATATTGGATGATCTGAGCGAATATTCTGCTCTATCGCCATTTTGCGTCCCTCTTCGATAGTTACACCGTCTTTCTTAAACTCCTCAAGAATTTCCTTCACGGAGTCGGAATAGTTGAGAGCACTTATTGAATTCCAAGCCATCTGTTCACAATGAAAGCAAAAAATGTAGTTTACGATACCGTCAAACAATCCATCGCTGGATAAGAGTGACTGAATACTAGTATAATGGTTTGAGTGCGCTGTAATTAAAACAAAAAACGCAAGTGGCGGGGTGGAGTGGTACAATACTCGATCGGACCAGTAGCGACTGTGAGTATTATATTAATAGTAATATGTACTGCATACGTAAATGTCTGGTGGCGTTTATAAAATAACTTTCCGCAACGATTATGTGTATATTGGGTGTTCTCGAAAGAGGATATATAAGAGACCGTTTGAGCACAGGGGACGACTATCAACGTTGTACCCAGAATTCATAGCAAACGGAATCGAACCCAGTATATCGGAACCCACAGTAGACATAGTGAGTTACAATCCAGCGGACGAACTCGCGTACATCGATGATTGCAAAGAACGATCTCTAAATATCGCCCATGTCCACAAATCAACTAAACTGTTATAGAGACCTTCTTGAAACTGCCGATGATCAATTGTGACCACTACCATTACTGGCGATCGATGTACGTGGTAAGGGGTACAATTTGTGCGACCAATTAAGATATTATATCTACGAAAACTTCCCTCGAGATCGACGTAAGAAATATGGGAGTCACGGATTTTCCTACAAGAATTTGCTTAAGTTCATGCTGGGGTCGAATTAAGAAACAGATAGATACTTTTAGTGGACGTTGGAGCCCCATTCTGCAGTTTCAGTCATTACAACGAGCAGCCAGAAGAACTATCTCTTATTTGTCAAGCTTACAACCGCTTTCTGTTGAGCCAGTCAGGGTACGAATGACTACATAATTGGCAAATATCAAGTGTTATACCCAACTGCTATTAGTATGAAACATTCGGAAAGATATGTTAATTATGAACAGTTGAAGGCTGAAATATTATCACAAGAAGCAGAAACGGTCGAGGTGGGGATACGCTTTGTGTTCGTAAAACCGATTATACAATCACTTTGAAAATGAAATCGAGACGTAACACATTCGATCGTGTTAACTACAACGAGTCATTTATCGCTTGGTACGTATCCCGCGAGGACGAAGATTGTATCTCATCAGAGAATATAGACGGTTTTCTTGTCAAAAAACTTGCAAGAATTCTATGTGTGGAAAAAAAAGTTCAATTAAACCAGTAACTGTTTCCGCTAAATTAATAAGTAAAACTATTTGTCCAATATATCAACGCATTGATGGGAAAATTACATTGCATAATCTTTGCACTAATCTTAACAAGTTGGAATATCCACACGTGGCAGCAACAAGTTCTTTCCTACACGCCGAAACACAGAAGAGGAATCTATCATTGGATTGGAATATTGTAATACAGACGATAAACAAATAGATATATCGATTCATGTGAAACATTCCGACGCAACCAAGACGTCCTATTTGTTAAGGCCGTACAGACTTGACTTTAGCGATATTAATTGTACTAAAGATTTGTTCGACACAGATATGAAATGTATTTTAAAACATGTGGTTTTATTCAATGACACGGATGTACGCAATGATCGTAGTCACGTTGGGCAAAACTTACCCGATAAATTTGGAAATAAACTCTATATCATAAAGAAACGTACAGTGAATGATTCGTCAAAAGTTATTCCAATGAAAAAAACAGAAACTAAACAAGAGAAGGTGATACAATTACTTGACGCATTGTGTCCAGACAGTTAACTTGAATTGTATTTTTTTTTTCTGGTAATAAAAAAACAATTACAATACGTTGTGATTTTTCGAGTAATAATAATATTTTGTGGGCGCTAGTTCATAAACGTATCATTACTTACATGTCCATGTTGAAACAAAAACGTCACTTGCGTACAAAATTAGAGAGAAGATATATATTACGAAGTAGAGCGTCTTACCTTGTATCGGCGCACTGTAAAATCACTGGTCAAAATGACGTGTCGTCGTACAGCTGTCCGTAGCTATAATCATGTATGTTCATCAATGCTATTATATAGCCCCCAATATTATAATTATATCCTTTAAGTCATGCGAAGCACGGTTACTAAAAAAGACGGTTAGGAAACGCTATTGTTAAAAGGTGTGAATCTGCCTAATCCCTCAAGGATGCGTGTCGCGCTGTGTACGCTCTCTATTGCTTGAGATTTCAAGGTACACCATTTTGTTTCATTTTTGTGTCGATCACTTGATGTTCCGCGAATTTGAAATTTTAAGCTCGTTTTCGATAGAATATCCACGTTTAGTGAACAAGCTCCACGAAGAACCACACGTTCATTTCGGATGAGTACTCTTTGTGACTGTGAAAACATTCAGAATCGAGAATCGTCATTTATCGTTTTCACTGTTGTCATGAGAGTAAGCTTGGGTCCCGGTAGAAAAGTAACAAAAATTCTAACCCCTAAGTCACTATTTTAAAATACATTATATTATATACAATACTACCAAATGAATTTTTAGTATACTACTGTGCGTACTTAT